CAGCACGACAAGCTGAGTCGATTTAGCCATGTCCGCAAACTAGTCCCTCAGTTTTCGAGATATCGATCTGAAATTTTGCATACGTTCCTTTCTCCTCAAGATGCTGTTCATTTCTTGGAGCCATCTATATCGGATCACTATAGCATAAAGCTGCCATACAAACTGAACGATCAAAATAAAGTTCTTGTATCAAAAACTTTTTTATTTGACGAGATATCTTCATGAAATTTGACAGGGATTATTGCCCTAGGCAACGCTACAATCTACGAACAAATTATTCAGATCGGACCGCTATAGCATGTAGCTGTCATACAAACTTCACGATCAAAATCCAGTTTTTGTTCAAAAAACTTTAATTTGTGAAGGGTATTTTAGTTTCGGTGCAACCGTAGTTAAAGTTTTTTCTTGTATATTCATGCCTTGTGTCCAGGCGTTGCCATCAATGAGTTTGCTTGTTTTTTTTTTGTTGCATGTTTGGGTTTGTTTGCTGGCCCGTCTAGCAACGTTCTAGCGTCATCACTTTCATGACCAGCTACTTGTTCCATGCACCCACACATACACAGAGACACACATATACATAGACACTCATATTCGCCTAGTTGCCATGCCACTGCAGTTTGTCTGCTCTTTAAAGTTAAATAAATACAGCTACTATCCGTTATTATCTACAATATTGTTATGATTGTTATCATTGTTGTTGTGATTTCATAATTAATGCCATTCTCAGTGAATGTAATAAATCAATTAGACAAAAGTTCATGGTTATTTAAAGTGGATGAAGATAAATGTGTAGCGAATTCTTGGCGGCTGCTCGCCTCTCTGCCTGCCTCGCTGCTTGAAAGCCTTGCCAACGTCGCCGCCAATTCATCGAGGCGCGTCTGCAACTGCATAAAGTTGTGCGTTTGTATTGCATACATTTAATAGAGTCGTTCAATAGCATTTTGTATGCAACCAAGTTGGCGGTGCATAATTTTAGAAAAGCTCGTTGCACAGCGCAAATGCGTGGGTCGGTGGCATTATAATTGCGTGACTCTACAATTCGGAAAATTTATGTACACCGAGAGGTGGGTACTTGTGTATAATTTTCC